AGGAGCCACTTGACAGCAGAGTCAATTTTGCAGCCACTACCGTGAAATAGTAATCTCCCGAGTCTGTGATAGCAGGAAAAACCGTAACTGAGCCCTGCGGTGTTTAGTCATCCGCATGCTCATTTCAGAAGTGGGTGAGACGTCTAGAATCAGCACATTTGTCCAGCGTCAGGAACGCAGGCTCATGCTGAAAGAAGAGTAGGCGTCTGCCTTGACGCAGAGGCAGAGGGGTTCAGTCAAGCTGCGGTATCCTCAGATGTCTTCTCTTTGCAATGTGGCCTCTATGTCTCAATGCATCATTGACTTCAAGCAGCAGATATTGGTGCTTGACTTTCTGGAGCCAGGGCCAGATTAACCCTTTAGTGGGCCCTAGGCAAAGAAACGCATGGGCCCCCACTTTCTTCATTCAAGAATTATAATATGTAAAATAAGCACAACTGGGCCCCTTCTTTGCTTAGCCAAACTAGGCACGTGTCTAGGGCCCTATGTGTTAATCTGGCCCTGTCTGAAGCATGTCCTAGAAAGGAGTCTCCCCAATACACTTCCAAGAAGTAAACACCTGACCTGCAGCCACTTCCATTGCTTCTTCCCTGCTGTTGCCTTCAGGACAGTGCCGAAAGGCAGGGCCTGTTCAGGCTGAGACAGGCAGGGGAAATTGCCGGTCCTCTCCTGCCTGAGCCAGAATGGCAGAGGGGAGCGTTCTGGAAGCAGAAGAGAAGTCCCTTTTTCTTAATTTGAAGATTATAAAAGCAAAAGGCAGAGAGAGCTGGCAGTCGCACACTGGCCAGTACCAGACAGTACCGGACTGCTCCTCGTGCGGGCCTGCCGTGGGCCTCAGCTCTCAGGCTCTCCCTGTAATTCTGCTCAGGTGGCTCAATGATCCCCTTCCCCACCCACCCCCATCTCCAGCTCTGCTGACCCCCTCGGCTCTCCCGCAGCACCTCAGTCGTGCCCGGCAGGCCCTGCTCTCTTCCAGCCGGGGGGCTCCATGCTCTCACTCCCATGCGAGCCCTTCTAGACAATGAAGTTGCTGAATGTTAAAAAAGTTTACCTAATCTTCAGTCATTAAATCTTCTCTAAAGATCTATTCGTGCTAGAGTCATTACAGCATTTCTGGACAGAGATAAGCATTAATCGGCTGAAGAGATCTGAGCTAGCTATCTGTTCTGAAAGTGCAAGCAGTGCTGTCTGACGGTGTACACATTCCTGTGCTGGCAGCGGCTAACAAGCGATCTGCCGGTGCTAGCAAGAGGGCGAGCACAAGGGTTTGTAAGACATGGCTAGCCAGGGTCAAGGTTGCAACACCAAATCCAGCATTTGTACTAGCTTCTTGCTGCCCCTAGACCCAGCAGAGGCATCACCTGGAACAATTCCCAAGGTTGCCAGGCTCGGTTCCAGACGGGCGACCCAGAAATGAGGCAGAAAGGGGGAGACCTAGAAGGAGAAAAGAGGGTGAGGGGAGTGTCTGGGTGGTGGGGAAGGCTGAGTGCTACTTTCTCATAGGCCTGTGCGAGTCGGCGGCTATTTGATCCGGCTTTGGCTCTGGCCGCGTTGGATGCCAGGGATCTGACCCAGAGCTCCGGACCGGGCTCCCGCTTCGCTCCGGCCAAAGCTTCGGAGCCGCCTCAGAGATCCGGCCATAGGGTATAATGGGGAATCAATGCAATATCTATAACTTTGTTGTTTTTTGTCTGATTTAGATTAAACTTGCAGGCGTGGTAGCCTCTGCTGAGAGCATGAAGCCTGCCAAGTTTCAAGGAGATCGGTGCAGGGATTTGTGGGGAACAGCACCTCAAGCTGCGGACAAGCAAAACGGGTGCCTTGGGTGACCCTGCGTGTGCAAAGGCGCGGCGGGGTGACAGCGCAGTCCCACCAGCACCCGCGGCACCAGTGTTGCCTGTCAGCAGCGAGGGGCACCGACCTCCTCCACAGTGGGCAGGCGTCGTGGCTGCAGCCGGGCCAGCACCCCTGCAGCTGTCACCCCGCTGCGGCTTTGCACACGCAGGGTCACCCATGGCACCAGTTTTGCTTGTCAGCAGCTTGAGGGGCAGTTCCCCCAAACCCCTGCACCGAGCTCCTTGAAACTTGGCAGACTTCGTGGCCTCACCAGGGGCCACCACCCCTGCAGTTTTCAGCCCCCTGTGGTGTACCACGTAGACGTGACACAAGTTTTCTTTCAAGAATTTGGGGTGCAGTTCTCCCCGAACTCCTGCACCCATCTTCTTGAAGCTTCATGCTCTCAGCAGAGGCTACCATGCCTGCAAGTTGCATCCAAATCAGACAAAAAACAACAAAGTTATAGATATTTAATTGAGTCCCCATTATACCCTATGGCCAGATCTCCGAGGTGGCTCCGAAGCTTTTCCGAAGTGCTTTGGAAAGTCTAACAAAGCCAGCGCTTCGATCCGGGCACGCTGCTTCAGACACCAAAGCATCTGAAGCTTCTCCAGATCCGAAGCATGGTCCAAAGCCTCGCACAGCCCTACTTTCTCAGTCTCCATCAGCTGCTGACTGCTGCAGACACAGGCACCAGGGACCTGACACCCCTCGCTCACACCCATGTCATTCAGGTGCCAACTTTGGTATTTTTATCCTGAATGTCTTGATTTTTTTTTAAAGCCCCAGCTTCTGGGGCCACGGGGTGGTCGGAAAAGCTCAGCTCTCATTGCCTAGCTTTCCTCTTTCAGGGAAAAGCACAAAACAAATTTCTCCAAATTGACTGCAGGCTCAGAAATCACAAGGACAACAAAATGATGCACTTTGGCTTTCTAAATCTCATTATCTGAAGGGTCCTGATGCTCTCTTAGGAATGCTTGGGGTTGGCGCACAAAGCTAGCAAGGGCCTTGCTGGCAGACCTGTGGACCACCAAGTCGTGCATTTCAAAGGCAGAATGGACCATCGTAACCAGCTAGTCCAACCTCCTGCCATAGAGATGCCAGACCCTGGCATGGGTGCCAGAGCATGGCATACGTAGGCATTTTGCTTGGCAAGTGTGCTCCGGTACGGGTGGTGGGGAAGGGCCTGGGCTGCACTGCCAGGCCCCTCGCGGCTCCCCTGACATCCACCCCTGGCATGCCAACATCTTACAGGTCAAGGTTGTGGATGTTTTTGGCACTCTGCCCACAAACGTTGCTGACCCCTGCACCAGAGGATTTCACCCATTGGCTCCCACGTCCGGGTGCAGGAATAATACGTGTTTGAAGAAGATAGTTTTGATTTGAGGGGGCCAAGGTGGGGAGTTACTGCAGTTCTTGGTAAAGGGTTCCAGCAGTTGGTTGAGCTCTCTGTTAAAAATTAACATTTCATTTCTTGTCTGATCCTCTTTTAACTTCATCTTCTGGCCATTGGGTCTTGTCTTGTCTTTGTTTGCTAGATTAAAAGCCCCACTAGTCTAATATCCTGCCGCTGATCGTATCTGGCACTGGATGTTTCAGATGAAAGTGTTAGCAATCCCTAAATAAGCAGATATGGGGTAATCTGTCTATGCTGAAGTTTAACCCTAATCTCAAGTATCTGGAGATTAGTTTATGCTTCAGTCAGTGAGGTTTTGTATGACTTGCAAAAATGTTTTAGCACTAATGATCACAACCGAATATTCTTGTTATCCATGTAAATCGCAAACCCTTCTTTCAATTACGCTGAAGTCCTTGCCCCACTGTCATCCGGAGCCAGTGAGTGTCAGTCCGCTTGCTCATTATATAAGAACGTTTCCTTTTTTGAGGTTTTGAATCAAGCAATTTCAGTTTAACTGAGCATCCCCCTGTCTTGTGTTTTGAGACATGGAGAAGAGAAGCTTTCCTTCATTAATTTGTATGCTTTCATGGTGGCTTGGTGTCATCTCCTTTCTACAGCGCAAATCTGGCTCTGCTCAATCTCTCTTCATGTGGGAGTTCTTCCAGGCCCCTAACCATTCTTGTTGCTGGCCTCTGAACTGCCTCAAAGTCGGCAACACCCTTGTAGAGATGGAGCGACTAGTCCTGCACACTTGCTTTGTGTGAAGTATTTATTGTATTTTCTCTACTACTCTGCATTTCAGCCCTTAAGCATTCTGGTATCGCGTTTGCTTTTTGGCCAGAGCTGCACACCGAGCAAAGTCTTCATGGGGCTGCTCACACGGATGCCGCAGTCCAGCCCCTTTCCCATCAGAACCTTGTAAAGGAAACGAGCATGGGGGGAGAGCGGAGTCAACAGGGAACAGCTTGCTCCAGGCCCTTTGCTCTGCACTATTTTTGGTTCACTGGCCCCACCTAGACAGCATGAAGACACTTACTTCGTGGTCAGGCCTCTGCCCCAGCATCTCAACTGCTTGGTACTTGAAACACGGGTAATCGGTTTGGGGAAAGGTGGCACTGAGAGGAGGAATTACTCCCTTTTTCAGAGCCCTCCCAGAGCAGAAGAGAGGGACTGGGTCATTGGAGCGAAATGAATGCTTCCTGGCTCCAGGGCCACGGTGTGGTAGGGGGGTCTCCTCTCCAGGCCACGTTCAAAGACGCTCTGTCCTGGCGGCACCCTGCTGCCCTCTGCTGGAAAAGCTCCGTTTTCACCGATTTCCCCTCAATCCAGATGCAGAAAGACGAGTCGGGCCCCCTGAAAACAGGCAGCACGCTATCTAATGCGCCGCCGCCCTTTGCACTGCCTCTCGGGGGTCGCAGTGCCTGTCACCTCGCCTCTCTTTGCCAGGTGTGCGCTCAGCAAAGCGCCGGCTAGAACTCATCTGTAACGAGCGGCTGTGCACTTCTGCGGATCAGGAAGATAAAGCTCCAAAACTTCTGTAGGTTAATACACAAGGCAATCTCTTTTCATATTGTCCTAGATGACAGGCATTCTTTGACACCAACTGCCTTCTGACTACTGGGTACATTTCTGGTCTCCCGTGACCAAGATGGACCAATGTAGGTTCAGAGAAGGGCTAAGGCTGATCAGGTGGCTGGAAACCCTGTCTTATGAAGGGGAGATGGAAGGAGTTTGGCTCGTTTAGTTTAGCAAAGGAAGGCTGAGATGGGGTCTGGTTGCTCTATAAAGGCGTCCAGTAGTTGAGTACCAGAGTGGGAGAAGAGCTCTTTGAACTGAAGGGCAACACTGGTCCAAGAACAAATTCAACTGCCATGAATAAGTTTAGTCTTGAGATGAGGTTTGTAGCTGTTAACAGTGATGTTCTGGAACAGCCTTCCCTTAGGAGTCATGCAGGCCAAAACCCCAACCAGTTTAAGGTGCAGTGACATCAGCATATGACAGAGTTATATATTTATATGGCTTGATTACCTGCGGTAGCAGCGGGGTGCACCTGGTGATCCTGCAGGTCCTTTCTGTGCCTATGCCCCTAGGTGCCTACTCATGAAGAACCCAGCTCCATATTGTACAAAAGGGCTCAGCACCACACAGCGGGAAGATACACTTTATTGCAAGCATTAATTTAACTATTGTGGAGAAACTGAAGCCGTGTAATGCTGACTCAGGGCTTGGAGCACGGAAATATATTCCAAATACAGTAGGTGGGGGTGGTTTCTCCTGTTCCTCACTAGCCAAGTAAGGGCTCGGGGACTTGCATGGGATTTAGGTGATTTGCAGATGGACTAGGTTGTCACAAAGCATATGTGAAGGTAAACACCTTGGTGGAGGCTCTCTGAGCACGTCTGCCTCCACTAAAGTGGAGATGCCCAAGGAACGTGGATAGCTTGGGAGCTGTGCACAGGGTGGAGCAGTTCCACGGTCACTGTGCTAGATACCTGGAAGCCACGTAAATGCCTCTTGGAGGAGGGGCAGGATTTGGCTCTAAACATTATGGATCCCAGGTAGCTGGTCCTTTAAGGGAGTCCTGTGGCTAGGTTACCTGCCAGCTCATGTGAGCCGGCAGGTAACCAGGAAGCCAGACCTGCTTGGTAATATAAGGGTACCTGGGCTCAAGTAAGGAAGGAGTTGAGGGGGTAGTAAGGTTGTGTGAGCAGTGCTAGAAGGAAGGCCTGGGCAGGAGCAAGCCTGAGCGTGTGGAAGGTTTGTGCTGGTTTGGCTAGCTGGGGCAGCAGCAGAGCTTGATACCACATCAGGTAAGGCCCTGTTCCCTGGTGTAATGCATCTACAACCACAGAGTGCTTTGGGCATGCTGCTATACTGTATGCAAGTCACTAGGGAGTTAGTGCAAGTGTAGGCAGAGCCTTGTGCTCCAAAACATGAGCCCCTTGAGCTAAAGGGAAATCACATGGCAATCTTGTGGCAGTACAGGGTCCCCACTACCAATGGAGGTGTTCTCATTATTGCTGCTAGAGCACAGATGCACATCAATACTAGTAGTAAGCAAATGATTCATGTTTGCTTTTTTTTAAACCCTCAGATGCATAAAGTGCTCCAGAGCACAGTTCACTGCCAGGGATCTGGTCTGGAAGAGCTCACCATGTGATTAAAAAGTTATATGACTGAGGGTAATAACTACAGAGAAGAGAAAGGAATGAGGAAGGAGAGGCTTATAATAAACAAGATCACAAGTTTGCTCAATTAAGGCATGTGCACATCAAAATGGCTCTGCAAAACAAACTCACTTCCTCATTAGTGCTGACTTGGAAAGAGGAGCACCAGCTTCCTAATTGCCAGCACCTGTCTGCAGCTCTTGGAGGAAAGCCCTGTGACCCACTACGCTCAGCCTTTCTTAGCACGTAGGAGCTGCTGGAAGCTCAGTCAACAGGTGACAGCTGCACTATGAGGAATGGGAACTCATGGTAGAGGTGATTTTGTTTATCAGACCAACTGGATGTTTGCAAAAAAAGTCTTGCTTCTGTAAGCTTTCAGGCACACTCCCCACTTCTTCAGGCATAGAATGCAAAGATTGTAAAATTTCTTCTAGGTGGAAATGCAAATGTGTATTTCACAGGAGGGCTGAAGGTGGTGTAAGATCTCCTGGTTGGAAAAGTTCACTTTGTGCAAATTAGGCTCAGATAAGTGAGAGGAGTCCATTTACCTCAAAGTTGTCTAATGGCAAGCAGGATGTTGAATTATTTTTCCTTCTGGTTATGATGCTCCATATTTTACAGGAGCATGGGTAGGGGGAAGGCTCTCCTGGGCAAGGAATTGCTCGTGTTGAGGCAGCTTGGTGCTCTGTGAACATGCAAATTTAACTTGAAACAAAAGGCAGGAGCAAGTGTGTCAGCTTTCAGGTTCTAGGGTGTTTGAATTTAGCTTCCTTCTTGTAAAATTATGAAGCTTTCATTTAAAAAACACCTAATTTCAATGTCTACCATGGTTTTAGGGATACAGGTTGTGGCCCTATTGGTCTACAGGGACAAGGAATCAGGACCCAAGGTAGAGGTGATATCAGTCTTTTGTTAGACCAACTATAAAGAACGTTCCCTGGGGTCTGCCCATGTCAGACACTGATCAGAGGGTCTGGGGTTTTCTTCTCCTGTACAGAAAACGGAGTGGCTTCAGGATGGACGCAGAGCAGCACAAAGCATCAGCATGCAATTTCAAATAAAAAAGAAAAACAAAAAACCCCAAAGGCTTAAGTCTATGAAGGCTTCTGCAGCTGGGCTCTGAGGTCAGTTGCTAATTATTCTGTAAAATGAAGCTGCTGCTGAAGCATCCCATTAAATATCACCAGGGACATTACAAACTCAGTTGTGGGGGGGGGGGGGGGGGGTTCG